TCAAAAAAGAGCAAACGAACTGCAGTTGACTCTTATTTCTGCGTGTGCCTCCCAGTGTGTTTGCAGTGGGTGGATGGATGGCTCAGAGTCTGCCTCTGGCCAACATGTTGCACCACTGTGATCTGCGACAGACACAGTAGGAGGTGATGGTGTAACCCATTGAGATGCAGCCCTACAGGGACACACAGACTCGATATGTCTCCTTAACAAGGCCAGCAAATAGGACATTCGTCACCCGTCCTCTTTCTGTTTTGACAGAATCGGCTAAGACTTATTCATCTGTTTTTCTTCTCTACATTCAATCCACTATAAAGTGTTACAAACTCACATTATCTCTCTACCTTTTCTATCAAAATCCACTCATTCATTCCTCTGCTATTTGCTATTTCTAAAAACATCTTAAGGCTCTCTTTGATTTCCTCTAAGATTGCTTTATATAGACTGTTCCCACCTGAGCTAGTGGGTGAATCATTCAGTAGATGAATTACAGTTAGTCTAAGGAGACACTTTTAATTGCTTGTTTTGTCCGTTCATTCAGTTCAGGGAAAGAAGTACATCTCCACAATAAGATGCTACCACCAAGAACATTTTTATTTTTTGGATCAAACGATTTCTTATGTGGTCATGAACGTTCTTTTATCTTATGGACATGAAATCTAATAGATGTTGATTACATGTATTTATATGTAAAGCACTATAAAGTTTGCACACAATTGCAAACTCATGTAATGTACAAGTAGCACAACAAAAGAAAAAAGCTTGCCCTTATCACAACAATGTCAAGAAGATAAGAACGCACGCACGCACGCACGCACGCACGCACGCACGCACGCACGCACGCACGCACGCACGCACGCACGCACGCACGCACGCACGCACGCACGCACGCACGCACGCACGCACGCACGCACGCACGCACGCACGCACGCACGCACGCACGCACGCACGCACGCACGCAACACACACACACACAACACACACACACACACACACAACACACACACACACACACACACACCACACACACACACACACACACACACACACACACACACACACACACACACACACACACACACACACACACACACACACACACACACACACACACACACACACCTACCTTAAACAAATCAGCAATGGGTAGGGAAATAATGGCAGGACAAGCAGCGCCTTTAGCAATTCCTGTCACTCTTATCATAAACACACATCAATTAACACACTGAAGCATGAAAACACACACTCTCTCCACGTCCACGTACCAAGCTGCTGTCCCTCGGGGTAGTTCATGATGAGACACACACACACACACGCACACACACACACACACACACACACACACACGTGTTATTGGTGCTGCTGCTTGTTGTTCTCCTTTTATCTGTTAGAACCAAAGACAGTCGACCAATCAGAGAGCAGCTCCTCACTCATAACCACGGCGACCACAGCCTGAACTCTGGGTAACCAGGTGGAGCCGCATAACAACACCTGCAGCAGGATTACAGTAATGAGTCACTGCTTAATTTGAGACAGAGCCGGAGTTACTGAAATGATTGTTATTCTGTTCCTAAAAACACATGAACCTTCATCAAAGAACTGCCTTTGTTTTACTCATAAAGGGGCATCATAGATGCTGAGACTTACCATGAACATGAGATGTATAACATCCCCCTGAGGAAAGTCATATTGGAAATGTAATTGCGCAAATATATTCCGAGTTGGGTGGGAGAACATTATCTGGAAGTAAAAACATTATAAAATATTCACCACATCTATCCCAGCGAGTCAAATGTTTAGTTTAACCGTTTCTAAAGAAGAATTCAACATGTTCTCAAGTTATACGTGGGCTTTCAAGATAAGAAGAATGAGTATTTTAATTCTCGAGCTGAATTAGATGAACCTACCATAAATCATTCCGACATGGGCGCTGTGAACCAAGACATCTTAAATTATGAGAGTTATGGAAAGATGACGATCGTATTGATTCGGCCTCATGCGGAGTATTCCAATTTCAGATGAATTATTCTTTAAAAAGGGAGGCTCAGCTGTTTTATGTCTCACTTATTGGCAAGAAATGTCCTTTTAAGACCAAAAACAACAAACAATCCTCATAGCCAGTAGCTAAATACTTGATCCTATTCCTCTGCACCACAGAACTTCCTTGCTGTTCACAAAACATTGGAACGCATCAATGAGCCATGCAGTTACAGTTTGGGACATGTGGAGGCACTCCCACCATCCTGCTGCTGTAAATACGCACCAGAGCACCAAATGTGCATTCATCCACAGCTTAGAATCTTCCCCAATAAGCGCACTATTTTCTCTTTTATGTAATGTTTGAGTCCCCGGCTCTTTTGGGAAATGACCTTGCCTGTTTGAAAAACTGAAATGAATGGTTTGTGAGCAGGTTTCAGCAAATATCTCAATCCTCAGTAGAAACCATTTGGCTGTAGTGTGAGACAGATAGAGGAGGGGAAGTGGGAAAGTACTGATGAACAAACAGAAAAGGACAGAAAAGATAGAGTTTAGGGTTAATGATGTGGCACACTGTGGAGCCGACATCTTCAGTCATTTAAACGGCCATGTTTATCAGCGGGAATGTGAAATCAAATATTCTATTAACCTATCACATAACATCTTAAATCAGAATAAACACTATTATTGTAGTAAACAGCCACGGTGACAAGGCAGGGTTGAAGTGAGGTCTCTTGTGTGTGAGTGTGTGTGAGAGAGTGTGTAATACACACACTGCTGTTTGAAGCAGTGAGGGGAGGGGATGAGATTAGTACAACAACAGGGAAAAGGCCCGGCGATGGTTGCCATGGCAAATATGGTTCCCTGTCGCGTGCTAGCAGTCTCTTCCTCCTCCTCTCTGTGCCTCCGCGCTCCACTATTCCTCTCTTGTATCGCTCTAAATTACAATGATTAAGGGGATTTATTGGCTTTACGTTTTAAGAACAAAGCATAGAAATACAATTTGTCCAAATAATTGGACAGGGTCTGCATAACAATGTGATCATTACCACATTAGGATTGATTTTTATATACATAGCAACCGATTTCCTTGTAAACTACCACCATGCCTTTGAATTGCTTTTCCTGCCTCTAAATCTCCGCTTTCCTTCCTTATTTTACCGTCCCTCTCATTCCCTCCCCCACTCTCTTCTTCACGCTACAGTTGGCCGCCCTGCAGGCTCCTGACAGGGCCCTGAACGCTGCGCAGAACAAGGCGACCTTCAATGCATCACGACAGTTTGACAGGGCAGCACCTGGACACAAGCTACCAGACATCACACTTGCCTGCGTCATGACCCAAAATAATATTCATATGTCTTTTAAGTATTGTGATATAAACTCCACCATCATGTAGCTCCTGGATGTCCACATCCATCTGGATATGCTGCACTTTGCATACGGAGCACATATATTGACGCAGGTTTTTACCAATTTGGAGAAAATACATCGGAATCGGAAACCAAGTTCATATCTTTGATGAAAGATGGAAACAATTGGTAAATTATAGAAAATACAACATTTATCATGACCAGGTGATGAGATCGGAACATTAAGGTATGAGTATTATTCATAGGTATTATTGTTGTATCCATTATGTGTAAGCTATGTCTTGTAAATTAATATCATTTTGTTTTTATTTCCTGATTTGTCGATTGTTATGTTATGTTATGTATCTACGTGTTTATTTTGCTATGTATGCTTTGTAATCAAAATAATTTCTTAAAATGCACATAAATAACAAATAATTACCAATTTCACAGCAAAGCTACAGGCAATATATTCATATGTACACGTTTTTATATGTTACAGTAACTATTGTGAGTGCTTCTCCGAGTGAAAGCTGACACACATGAATAGCTTACTACAAAACCATAAGGCCTGTCTTCCCATATACTTCCCATACCAAGCAATCTACAAAATGCTGTAAACAAACAGTTATTGCAACACACACCTCCACAGACAGTATGCCTACACTACAGCATTTCTGCAGACCATAGCTTTCATGATCTGCTAACTGTTAGCATGACATCAATTAAGGAGCATTTAACCAACATAGCATGACTGCACACACAAAACAACATTGGGCTACAATATCACTCAATATCACTCAATATCAATCACAACAGCCAACGGAATATTGACCAACCTGGTGCTTTCATCAGCCAGGTGTTTGACAAACAAAAGCTATAAGACACACCCTCCTTTGCATGTTTTTCTCCCGACATTACACATTCAAAATAAAAGCCCCAGAGCCTTCACACTGATGTACTGCTGTGCTTGTGATGAATCAAGGAAATCATAGACACTGAAAAAGAACATTAATTGCAACTCTAGTTTTATGATGAATGTTTTTGTAGCACCTATAACAGCTGCATTTTCAGTGAGCAGTGATGAGTTAATCTTTTGTGCTCCTCAGTTAACCCTGTAGTAGACACAGCCTTACATCACCCTGTGGATGGGTGAGGGGATTTCTTCTCACCTCAGAGACTCTTGTGAAATGTCAATGTTACATCACAACAGCTGGTGAACTTACCAATACATAATGAAAACATACATACATGTATTATAACATAAAGCGTGTTGGCCCTGTGGGTTTATTTGGGCTTTTAAAAAACTCGTTTTACTACAATTAAAATATTACATTTTGATGAGGTGGCCTATTGTGTAAAAGGCATGAATGTGCTGTATAAAGAAATAGCACACACATCATTTAAAGGGCTGTTTAAGAGCCTGAAATGTGTTCATTTGTGTGATACTCTAAATAATGCACTTATCTGGTCAGATATTATACACAAATTAAATCTGTTTTATCACGCCAGGACACAGTATGATTTATTGTTGAATTCATTGTTATTTCACCTGCGTCTGCACAAATCCTGCAGAAATAACCTGGCCGTGTGGCCCCAGTGAACCGGAACGAACAAAGGTGTCAGAGGCTATAGAGGTCTGGATGTTTTTGTGGGAAGTGTACCGGTGCTGCTCACCTGTCAGGTTGTCGTAGCACTCGATCTCGGTAGTCTGCACGGCTCTCCGCTGATCCTCGGTCAGCTTGCCGGCGGCTTGGTTCAGCAGGTTGACCTCGGAGCCCGTGGTCCCGTCCACCAAATGCACCCCTTTGAGCTGCAGCAGCGCCCGGTGGTACTTGCCGATCGCTTCCCGGAATTTCTTCTCCTTGTAGCAGCGGTGACCCTCTGCCTTGAAGTCGACGGCTTTCTGGATCTTCGCCTCCATGTCCATTTCAGCGGCTCGACACCCGTCTGCTCCGGCAGCCGCGGCCAGGCTCCGGCCACCGGTTTCCGGGTAGCTTTTAAGGCTTTTTATCTGGTGCTGCTTGGCTTCCATCTCTCTCAGTGAGAGTGCCGGGAGCGGGCCATGGTGCTCGGACACTAAGGTGTGTTTTATTGGGGAAGACCCGAGCAGCGTGCTGTGCATAAAGGATGCAGGACGGAGAGGCAGAGACGCGGCTGAGCAGGAGAGAATTCGTGCCTCAAAAACAGCGTCAAATACCGCGGTGTCAGTGTGTGTTTAAAGAATTTAAGCTAAAGTAAATGTCGAAAAATATTTAAGCTTATATTTCGTTGAATGAGGCTGAAACAGCTGGCAGAAACAAACTCAATGTTCCCATCCGTCGCTACCTGATTCCTCGTTTTGGTCGTCTCGCGGAGGGATGCTCGAGTGAATATCTGTAGCACGCGCAGCTTCAGCACCACAAACAGCGCACGCACGACAACCCCAACCGCACAGCATTGTGGGAGAAAAAAAGAAAAGTCGTGAGGCGTTGCTGGTTGCTGCAGTACAGATTTTATGGTGAAAACCGAAGACAGAAATGTGCTGTTATGAAAGATTATTTGTCAAAACAACAATGCACTTTGGTAAACATGGTAAAATAAGCGTATAGGAATTAAAACATAATACTTTGTATGTAAACTACATCTTATTTACATAGTATTGGACCTTTTTTTTTTTTTTAAAAGGATGGGTCCTATTGACAACATTCACATTTACAGTAACCCCATAATTAGGCTACTATATTTAAATTAATAACTAATAGCCTTAGCGGATTGCACATTACGTCACTCCCATTGTTTGTAGCAGGCCAGTCTTCTTTATCAAAAACAAAAAACAGGCTGATTCAGCGTTAACCTAAATTACATCCCGTCAATAAACATCCCATTATGGCCATACCGATTTCAACTGATAAGGTTTTCAAGGATATGGAGACGGACAGCAGAGGGCTGCATGGACAGAGGAGGAAGAGAGCGACCTCAAGGGGACAAAGTCTCCATTACACCTATTATTTCTCGTGATGTGGCCAACCATCAACAGTCATAATAGATCTGTAAAGATTATAGCCTATATTATCCTCTACTAAATTGCAATGTCAAGGTTGTTATCTTGTATGTCGTTAACACAACGCAGAAGTCTGAATCAAAGTTTTATAAAAAAAATAGATATGTTATGATGTAAATATTGGTTTAACTGTGAAGTTAGTGCTATCACAAAATTGGATTTAATTACACAATTGTGACCAAAATAATTCACAATATCGCCACTAGTTTAACTGTTTGGTCTATTTAGTGTTTTTTAGTCAGTGTCAAAAGGGATAAGAGCGATGATGTGTGTTCATAGCTCTTCAGCATGTATGTCACTCTGAAACACCAATTACTGTCTTCTGCATGTTGTAGAGATAGCACTACCAAATTCAAGTGTAAGGCAGGATGTTTTTCTAGTTTTCCTGATTAAATCATTTCCTGCACTGAAACGTATGTACTTGTCTCTGTGCAAAAGTGTCTAAATTAAATTCCAGTACAGAATAATTACATAAAGGGTAAGCCTACAACAAACTGAACAATCCCCTCAACGCAAACACATATTGAACAACCCCTGTAGCCTCTGGATGCCATCAGTGTTTCTGGCTGCAGCTGTGCAGAGGGAAGATGAAGCCTCATTAACATACCACTGTGACAGTTGAGCCGACATTATGCAGCAGCAAACTCATTGTGAGAGCCGTGGGAGTTTAATCGGTATATTGATAAATGATCAGCTAAATGTTCCCAGGGGCATATCAATATTGACTTTGATGTCATGTTCATAGTTAAGAGTTGAAAAGTACCGCATGTGAACATGACATGCATTGCAAATGTTTTCTGCAGAGAAAGAAACAAACAAGAGGAAAGACATTTGGAAACGTTTCTCTTTTATTGTCCAAGTATTTTTCTTTCCAAACTGATAACCTTTTTCCTTAATGTCTTTTTAAAGAATCATAAAAGTTCAAGGTGTATTTTGCTCTACTTTGTTCTTAAAAACATAAAAAAAAAATCTTAATGTGATTTTAAACATTTAAAGTATTTACAATGTAACAAAGTTCTGGTGTGAAGAATAGTACACAGGTGTTAACGGTCCACACTGGGTAAAGGTAAACTACTTATACCTACAGTGCCCCCCCCACTCCCCTGACACCAGTCATCTCTGAGTTTCTTTAAGTGGGTAAATAACAGAAGGATGTCCACATAGAAAAATATGCAGCAGAACTGTTTCTGTGTGAAACCAAGTCTAACAAATCTATACATTGCATTTTTAAATAAACAGTATCCTACTGTGACCCAGCCTTCAAGTAGGTTATAGGAAACATTCAGTACTGTGATAGAGAGGTGACATGGGTGTCTTTAGTTCAGAGGTGAGAATGTTACTCCATAAAGCACAGGAGAAGTGGAGGAGGTGCAGCGTTTTATTTTCTTCTTTTCAAGTGTTCAGAGGTCGTTATGTGTAAAAATCTGAATTGACTATGCAAGTCAATCCAGGGCTGAAGTTTAGAAGCCTTTCATTAACGCCTTTTCTATTTACCCGACATTAGAGGTAATACATGATGGTAACAAGAAGAATGTAACAATCACCTCCACTACTGAACTATTCCTTCGGGAGAAAAGGAAAGTGTTGGCAGCAGCATCCTTATTTGAGGAGTGCGAGGGTAAAATTAAAACCACCGTTATGGCAGCTTGGTTCATGTCATGCTCATGCTTTAAGTTAAATATACTTTTTTTTTTTTTACAGAAAGATAAATGGTAGATATGATTGAGACATGATAAATAGATTCCAGGTGGAGCATCCTAAATCACAGAAAACATTGGTTTAGGGTCCATATTCAAAGGTGTTTTTCCAATGGCAGCATGACTTAGGTAAAAAGAAAAAAACTCGTGAAATTGTATCTAATTAAAACAGTCCATCAACTCAAAAGAGGAAAAAGCTCCGATCTGCATTTACATGTTTCCAGGAAAAAGAGTTGGTACAAATTCTATAAGGGACGTGTCGAAAGAGTCTGAATACTTTCTTAGGGATTAGCGTTAGGTTTTCTTGCTCCCCAGTCTCTTGAAAACACTGATAGCCCTGACATCCATCTGGGCCCCCACAGCCTCGGCTCCTCCTGCTCCCCCCGCCCCGGTGCTGCTGCTGACCTTGGAGCTGGCTAGGGTCAGCCCCTCCTTGGGTTTGGGCTTGGTGCTGGTCACCCTGTTGTCCTGTGTGTCAGCAGGTAAGGGCGATGCAGCGGCGCTCTGGTGTGATGGAGGCAGCTTGCCCAGTCTCTGAAGCACACTCACCTTGGCAGGGGGGAGGCCATTTGGGGCGCAAGAGGAGGTGGGGGTTTCAGAGGGATGTAGTTTGAATTTACCTCCCAGGCGCCGCAGGGTGGTCGGTGGTGGTTTGGCCACTGGCTCTTTCTTCTGGGAGGGCATGCTTCTCTTGAGCACGCCGGCATACTGAAGAACGGAGCCTTCTCCGTCACTGTCGTCCTCGTCGTCGTCAACATCCACGATTGCAGCCATTTTGACAGGCCTCTGCCCGTTCTCCTCTTCATCTCCTCGGCCAAGACGACTGAACACACCGGTGGCCTGCCAGACAAGCAACCATTACAATACAATTCAATACAAAGGTAGCTATTCATGTTTCCTGACAGGCCTTACCTTGTTATTGCTTGTTGTTGTGTCTGCTTTCGATTCAGCCCCAAGTCTTGAAAACACAGAGTTGCGCTTATTACCTATTTAAGGATTAGAGAAAAAGTTATTACACAAATACTATTGTGATTTGCTACTGGAAATTCAAAGGAGAGCACCATGAGTTGATTAGAGCCTTGCTGTATAACGTAAAATATATGAGGCATATACTAAACTAAACTGTGATTATAACGTACAATACAAGCCTCTGCAGAAGCACAATAGTGTAATCAAAGACGTACTCTACTACGCGTATCCTCAGCAATCCAGCAGAGGATTCCCCCTCTTGTGTTTTATAAGTTCACATGACTAGGGAAGATCACAAGTCAAAATAATGGTTTATTTCCAGAAATTAAAGTAGCAGCTTCAAAAGAGTGAATTGCTAACATTTTATAAGACTGTTTTTAAATTATAAAAACCTAAACTGTGCCAAAGCCTTAGTTTTACAGCTTTTAGAACGGTTGGGTAAAAGCCATGGAATACAATGAATGCTGTGAAGATTGTGAAATAAATCAGATATCTGTATTTAGAGTCAAATGTATTCCCAAAATTGGACTTTGTATTTTGTCAAAGCATGCCCTATGTTGAGAAACTGGCTTTTATATTTAAACATCTAATCAAATGAAATACAAACAATTGTGTTTTCATACGATGATTTTTTGTTTTTAAGAATTATGGTGACTAATGAATTCTAATGACATCAATCATTTCAAAAGAAAAAGACAACCAGAAATAGAGCATTGTAGCAGTTTACAGAGTTGCAACTCTTTTAAAGAGACAGAACCAATCGGATAATTGGTGTCACAGGACAGAAAGGGACAGAAAAGACAAGAGTCTTAAGAGTTATAGTTGGGTTAAATGTAGACAAAGGACAGTAAAAACAGCAGGGGGACAGAGGGTACAGGGGGAAGCATTAGTGAAGACAGGGGATTCAACTACGAGAGAAAGTAATGAGGGTCGAAGGCTTTCTTAAATCAGCCCGAGTCACCCCATTTCGTTTGAATATGAATGAAGTCCATGAAAATGTTAAGTATTGATTAGATGTGGAGCACCAGCTTTATTGTCGCGAGTTGTCAGCAAGGCCCCCGGGTCAGGCCTACCTTTCTTGGCCTGCTGGGCCAGGATGCGGCGTGTACGAGACGTGGAGCCTTTGGGCATGTTGATGATGTACTTGCCTTCCATCTCAGCTGTCACACGTCGGCGCTTCACTGCCTGCAAACTGTTCCCCTCGTCAGCCGGCGGACTTACAACTGACAACAGAGTGGTCGGAACATGAGGATGAACAGAGGTAAGAAATTAGGCAGGATGTCTACATAGGGACAGGAAATACAGGGTAAGAGGTTTAATATATTTACCCGCTTTGCCACTCTTGTTTGCTTGCATGTTGGACACAGTGACAGAGAGGTGGTTGTCAGGCCGACGGGCTGGAGTGGCCGGCGGGGAGTCGCTGCTCAAAGCGTTGGCGATCATACGAGTGGCAGCTGAGGGAAAGCAGAAACATTTAAATAAGTTGTGTTTAAAAAATAAATGGAGACTAGAGCAAAAAAGTGTTTAACTCAATATTAAAATTAATTTTGTTCAATGATTTTAGGAACAAAATATTTTTGTTGTAATCTGCATTTAAATAAAACACGCACTGAGTAGCATTTCAATGTAATGCTGCTACATCATACTCCACGACCACTATATAAGTCACAAATCATGATACACTATTGTAGATTAAGCTTGCAGAGCAGAATACAAAGCGAAGAATGGAGGGTTGGGGTAATTATATCTGATTCATTGTGCAGCTCTATGTGGGATTTCTAGACACTGCAAAGTCAGAAAGTGTTGCAGCTTGTTTTAGTAACATAAGATAAGGTTGATTTTCTTTATCTTTAAAAAGAAACAATTACTCTTTATAATGCCCTAATACTTGTCATAACAACTGCGTCATCATGCGATGATTGAGTTAGTTAGAAAAATAACCTAAATTGTTAATTTATATATCACATGAGGTCTGCTGGTAATACTGCTCCTGTGTGAATGGCTTCAAGTATTAAATGATAACTGTTGATTCCTTTATCTTCAGGCTGGGCTGATATATGAGTCACATGGTTGTCTCAGTACAATGTAGCAATGTAAGTTGTGTGAAATGAGAAGAAACGCATTCTTTTAAATTGCTTATAGAAAAAGGGTTTTCACAAAAGGCTGCAATGATACAAAAAAAAAAGTGAATATGATAAAATGTAGACACTTACGAGAATTGGCAGTTCGTCTGAGCTCAGCTTTAACACTGGTCTGTCCTGAGGAGATGGCTTCTGTGGCCATTTTGCACATGTCCTGAAGAGAGGATACAAATGGCAGAGGTTATGTAAGCTCAGCCTACTGCAGTAGCTTTGAAAGGCAACCATTCTACATGACTGCATCCACAACAAAAGTCAAGATATAAAAAATATACTTTATGCATTTATATCAGCACATGGGCAAAAAGGTGACATGTAGCAGCAGTCACCAATGTTTTGCTAGTCCATGTGACTTAGCACTCTTATAGACGTAGTGTTTGCTGTCCTTTTATTTAATTTATTTTTTAGCCAATCAACACTGCTGTCAGAGCAAAATGAACATGGATATGAGAAGTCAGTTGCCCATGCCTAATGCAAAAACACACATTTTGTGAAACGGCATTGTTCACGTTGTTTATGCACACTGACGTCGGTGCTTTCAGTGTTCTTCACTTTCATTGCAGGAAAAAATCTGCACCGTGTGTTGCATGCAGTCTCCTTTAATTCAACAATGATGCATAAACTAAAAGTGCCTTTTCTGTCAAATATTATTATTAAGATGATTATAAATATTATCAAACGTCTGATCTTACCTGCCTGTAGACCTGCTTGGCATGTTTAAGAATGGCAATGATGTCACCAATGACTGTTATCCCGAGGTCCATCATGATGTCTTTGTTGAGGTCCATCAGCATGTTCTTGTTAATTCTGCAGCGAAAAATCAGAAAAAAATGTATGTACCCAAAGTCGATCATGATTACATTGTTTATAATATATATTTTGTCTGTTTGGAAAACGTTATAAGACTGAAACTTATTCGTTTATTATATTGAGAGCTCAGTTCATGAAAGAGACTGTCACTTCCCCACTAGTGAGCAATAATATATAAAGAATGAATTGCATTTTATTTCACTTACAGACAGTCTGATTAGAAAGGGGCAAAGGAAATGCACGTGTTCACAGCGCAACACAGTGAGGCTAAAGTGTGCTGTACAGAGCAGCCTATGAAAAGCAGACATTAGGTTACCTGTTGTCCACGAAGGAGACTGCATAAGTGACTGCGAGGCCGACTGGGATCCCAGCATCCTTGAAGAACTGAATCCACTCCGACGTGGCTTAAGAAAAATAAAATAAAGACTGTTAGAAACCATACAACAGAAACTATTTCAGTCACACACATTTATTATGTTGACAGGTTTATAATTAAAAGAAATACATTATATTGTTTAAGAAAATAACTAGTGGCTTTACTTAAGAATGATTTTAAATGTAATGGAGTATTTTGTGCATTAACAAGTTAAGGGTCCGAGTACACCTTCCACCACTACTTCTAACTATATGAACAGTATAAAGAGCCTGGAAAAGAAGAGTATCAAGTTATACTCCCAGTGATACTGAACACTACAGTGGCTCTAAACGCTAGTGGGGGACGCAAACCTGAGCAGACATCAGCATGCTGACCACTGCCAGTTGGAGGTTATTTATAACACCCATTATGAACCGTCCGGTGGTTTGAGTAACAGATTTAGATTCAGGGTGAAGGGTGCACATTAGCAGCTGCCAGAACAATGACTCTGTTTAACGTGCTTTGACTGTGACTGATGATCTAACATTGACAAAAAGACAAAACTCACACTGCGTCTAAAACATCATTTAGCACCTGGAAAGAGAGAGAACCACTCACAATCCAATACTTTAAAAATAATATTACAGTAGATTTGGGGAACGGTGTGAAACGCTATCGTTCTGGTCAGTGCCGGTTAGCTCGTGTTAGCATAAGACGATGAATACGCTAAATATAGCCCCTCTCAACATGTAAACGGTCGATAAACCATTGTACCATTCTGGATTAAACGTCCATTTAATCAATGAAAGTGAAAGCAAGCGTTTTAGGTATTAAATCCGTTTCTAGAAACGTTTTTGTTAGCATTCCTCATTAGCATAGCTTCAGCTATGAATCGAAAGGCGCGACCGGTCGTCTTCGACATTCACTACAAGGAAACCCGGTTATAAAACCTCTGAATGGATACAACAGCCATGTCTCACAAACAGAGAAACCACCAAAATAATGTAAACGTTGCAAAGTGTTAACGCTGGCTCGCCGGGCCTTTATGCTCTCACCTGTTGTCACGGACGCCATGTTTACAACAAACGTGTGGTGACGTCATTTCGCCCTGCTCCCGTGACGCTACTTCCGCCCAAACCACTAGTCATGTAGTTTAATGTATGGACGCTAGAGGACAGCAAAGACTGCAAACTAACAGACAACTTCACAAGCAAATACCAACAGTATAAGTATGGATCATGCAAAATGAAAATGTTAAGCACCAGACACTTTTTAATTGCCATATTAATTTAATTGAAAATAGTGATGCATTAATGTGTTCATCACTTCAATGCGTGTCGATTTATATTTTGTATTAATAACCTATATCAATTCACTCAAGTAAAGTGCAAGTACCTCAATGTATTATTTAAGGCGTAAATGTACTTTGTGACATTACACCACTTCTTGTCCAACAGGGCCCAGTCATTGCTGCAAGTTGTCAAAAAAAGATTCCCCCTTAGTCTGATTCTAAAATGTCCCAACAATGTGCAAAATACACAACATTAATACAAATCAGAAACTTTAACACATTGTAGACACAGTTTATTGTTGTCAAGTTTCCTTTTCTCTCTTTGTAAACATGACAAACAGGTTTGAGTCAGGTTCGCGAAGAAGATGATGCAGGTACGACAAGCAGCAAACCCTCATGTGTCTACAGATGTTGCTAATAAATAGTAGGCCTACTTTACGCCTCTTCTCTTCGTTTTTAAAAAAATATTTAATTTGATTTAAATAACTTCCATGTCATGTGACCAAATGACCCCACGTTAGTGCAGCCTTGTATAATTAAACTGGACAAGTAAAACATATTTTTTCATTTTATATGATTTTTAAAAATGCTGCTGTTTCATCTTGATTGAAAAGTATTTTTCAATAGTTTTCAATTCAAGTAGCCCAATGAAAATCCTGCAAAGTTCAAGCATTTATAAGTGAGAGACATGTATCTTGTAATATGTTGTTTATTTATGTAATCTCTTCACAAATTGGAAAGGAAGTCCATTTGTTCAAATCAGAGATAGCTCACCCATCTTTTGCTGCTTAAAAATCAAGACACAAACCTTTCAAATCTAAAGTTTTATAAGATAGCACAAAGGAAGAAGCTGCAATCTGGATACAGAAGATCACAGAGCTCTCACTTCAAAGGTGAGTTAGAAAATGTATAACACTTTGGTCCTTTTCAAAGTAAAAGAAAATGAAAACGATTAGTTGGTTATTCGTTATTCAAAATAAACAGTACTTTATGATGTGCAGACAAATATTAAGCTATGTAAAATAATATTCACTGAAAAAACAGATCAGTTGATATGAAAGCACCATCATTACATTGTCATGTAATTAACCATGCACCCTAAATATCGCTCTTTTTAATTTCTGGAGTCTGATACACATCTTGAACAAAGTTTATTTGGGCCTTTCACTTCTGTAATTTCACATATTATCAATGTATCAAATCACAATTGATCTGTGTAACAAAAGTGCAACCTTTTCCAATGAGATGTAAATATAACAAAACATCGATGACAGGGATGGATAAGAAAATAAGCATTGCCTTTCTGAAATGGAGGAACATTGTGGCTGCACATCACTCATAAATGAAAGCTTGTTAGATTGTCATGATGATTGTCTTAAACCTTAGTGGTACAAGAAGTATGTTGAATAACATTTTAATATGGTAACAGAAAGGATAATCAAACAATACATCATCACACTTGACATAGAGTAGCTGTCAGTTTGAGCACTGCCTGAATTGCTACATAACGTTTATCCAAGAGGACAAGAAGTATTGCATTTCATACCAGGGAAAACATGACAACAGAGTGTACAAATTGAAGTAAAAAAAAATCCAACATTCTTCCCATCATAGAAAAATAGGAAAGCTCTTGTTAAGTTAACTCTAACATAGCCTTTGAACATTACTAGAGGATTTCTTATAACTCTCCTAACCCTCTTTGTCACATTTTCAAATTCATTAGCAAATGATATGTGATTGTTAACATACAGAAACAAAATATTTAATAATGTCAATGAAATCCTAGGCAAAGAAAATAGACGTGTGGTGACCACAGTAAGTGTTTTATCATTTAAAGTCCAAGGGCCCTCTGAGATCTGTTTATAACAGTTGAAGATATAGCAGGCAATTCATATTGAACCATGATGAAATCACAAAATGATTACTGGGCTCTCAGAGCGACAGCTGCTGGGAGTTCACTGTGTTATTGGCTTCCTTTGGAAATGAAACGCTCTGATGATACAAGCAGTGCGTTTATTTATCCGGAGCCTCACCTACAGCATGTATAACTTTCTGGCCCATTACAGTTTGTTATAAGTAGCACCACAAAACCTATGTACATGAGAACTGTTGAATATGTTTTATGATTATTCTAACACCAAAACATATTCTCATCACATTTGTATTTGGAGAGAAATCAAAAGGCATTTCTAACATCCAACACCGCCCTTACTCAACATTTAAAACAAATAAAAATGAGGTCTGTCCATTTTCTGACCGCCAAGAGCCACATCTAAACATTTATACCATTGATCTAGCGATTGTTTTTGAATAAACGTGTATTTATTGAAAATAAAGTTTCTTATTCAGCAAAAATACAATCACAGAACATGTTAGTCATAACAAAACTACATGTTTTCTTTTAGTACACATGGACATGGATTAACATCATAATACGTATTCATATCAAGGCTTCATCTGTGGCTCTCCTTAAAACACACATTTCTTTTACAGAGTAACCATTTATTAAGTGATATGTTTATAACGGACAGAAATGCATACTTGGTATGAAACATTTAGTCCTTAAATAAATCCGAACACTTTTAATATCTGTATCAACATTAAATGACACTAGTTTGTATTTCCTCATGTTGTGCTAACTAAGAATGAAGTGGCATTAAGGTGTCAGTAGCATTTTGGACAGACCTCACAAAGAAACAAAAAAAAGAAAGGCGTTTTCACAAATGTCTAACATCATCATCATAAACATACATTTAATGTAACTTGAATAGTTCTTTATATTTGTTTACAAAACATAAATACACATTGAAAGAGGCAGTTACATCGTGCTTCATGTTGAGGGACAGGGCAGTACTTTTTTTCTTCCTTTAGAAAAATATTCTTTTAAAAACTAAACCTCAGTAACATTTTTTCTTCATTGACAAAAATATCCCATTTAAATCTGCAGACATTCATATTTTACAATCATGGTACATACACATATATATATATGTGTAACCTGTATATATGTATGCATAAAGGTTTGATGATCATTTTTTGTAGTGCACAACGTGCCTCCAAAGTTGCCAAATGAAAATACCATAAAATAATTAAATCATATTTATGATGCAATAATAATAGTAACAGTTGTGAGAAAATCACCAGATTAAAAAAGAACAAGAAATGGCAACAGCACAAGTGAAAGCCGAGGTAAAAGCAAAACGATCGAACACACAAACATAAACATTAAAATATATAACAATTCTCACTCAAACATACAGGAAAAACAAATTGTACAAATTCACAGGCAACGAAGGGACGCAAATTCAACGACATCTTCTCCCCTTTTGTTTCCAGGTGTTGCTTTGGGCTCAATCACCACATCAACCTCAATAAAGAAAGAAATAAACGGGCCAGGTGTCTCAGAGTGGATGCACTCACAATAAACGCACCCCCGCCTCGTCTCCGCTGAGAGAACAGGGGAGGTACAGAGACAACTGAGCCCAAATGTTTCGAGGTTGCCTGAATCGCTGCTAAAAAAACGTTTGTCCTGTAAATAAAGGCATTGGTTCACATCTGATTGATTCTGAGCAAAACACAGAGTATCATATCTTCAATTCAGAGACTTGAAAGGGATGATGTTAACATACGCATGTAGGCTCTGTGTTATGGAGGTGTTCTTACTAAGGCTACACCTCCACACAGTTGGCAAAAGCAAGATCTACTTTTGTTTCTTTTTTATGTTTTTAACATTTGGCTCTTTCTGCATTTTCAACATTTGGTTCCAAAAACGGATGGTTAGCATGGGAGTCATTCTCTTGAATGAGTCTGTCAAGCTTAGTCGCACTACCTTTCCTTCCTCCTTGCTAAACTTGTCTCTGTCCTTGCTCTTAACCGGCCTCGCAACAAAAGACGTGTCCCATCTTCATTATGTGAACATTGAAAAATGGCTCATCAGAAGACAGTTGCATCTGTCTCGCATCTTGCGTTCATCACTTTATCTATGTGTGTGCTTAAAAGGATTTAGATCCTGTTCACTGCTAGTGTCTGCATGGGGGGGGGGGCGGTGTTGCATCCATGTCCTTGTATGAAAGGGTGCAAAAGGGCTTGCTGGTTGGGTCAGTCACTCAAGGTCCCAAGGGCTGGTGGGGGTCTTCGGGCTCTCAGGGTTCGAAGACTTCAGAGAGAGGGAGAGGAAGAAACACAAGACAGAAGAGGAGAAGATACGCAGACGGCAGAAGAATTAAAAAAGAAGAAAACACGAATGAAGTAAGCACAAGAATCAGACGAGGCTCGGATACTCAGATCCCCGATATGCCAAGTCCAAACAACACACGCAGAGGCGAAGGGAAGTCGAGCAGATTAAAGGTTAGAGGTGAGCGAGAAACCATCAGTTTGTCTTTCACAAAGAAAAGACCATGAACAAAATGTCCTTCGACCCCATTTCAGATTTGCACAAATAGATTCAGCAACAGGAAGAAGGAGGAAAGGGATGGAATAGGATGAGAGCAAGAGCACTTGAAAAGTCAACCGACAGAGGGAACGAGGTGGGGGCACTGGTGCTGGTTGGATCATTAACTGAGTGATGAATGTTCATTGTTAATTAATCTTTTACTTAAGTTTACATCAAATCATTTTAAGATTTGCAACGTGGATTTTTTCACTGTTTTTATTCACGTATCTTGTTGCAGCTATTCTAATACAAAACATTAAATGATTTATGTATTGGTGGTTAAGGTTAGATTTAATGTAACTAATGTGCAAATATATGGCTCTTGATTGGAATGTGTAAACTTTAACCCCATCAGATACAAACTATATTCTTCAATAAGTGAGACTGATGGGTTCTCTGTATGTACTTGCCTCAGCCTGTACTTCCAGCGGGCATAATGTGTGTGCGTGTTGATATGTGTGCGCGTGTCTGTCGGTTAGTCAGAGTGCCAGCAGCGAAGGCGAGTTCAGGGAATCAGACGACTGCTCGCTACTGCTGTTCCGCTGGTTGGCACTGACCCCGCAGGCTCCCTCTGGGTAGGTGAACACAAATGAAGATGTGTATGAGGTGTTGTAGTTGCCAATGGCCGCTTCGTCATGGTTACCACCACCACCACCACCACTGTCGCTGGCCATGAAGCACGGCCTGCCTGCTGCCGGCTCACTTGAGCCATAGAAAGAACGAGAAAACTCTACCTCCTGCATTATCCCTGGCGGAAGCTGCTGCTGGACCGGAGGCTGGGACTGTGTGGAGGCCAGATGGGCTGTGTAGGCAGGAGGCAGATAGAAAGAGTCTTCCCTCACGGCCAAGCCCACGATGGAGACCGGAGGTTGTAAGGTCACGGGAGGGAGCTGGAGCTGGACTTGAGGCATCTGCACCGAGCCCTGCTGTGATGCCTCCGTGTACGAGATCTTACAGGACGGCTGGTGGGCCACCAGGACAAACTCCAGACGCTCCTTCTCCTTCTGCAGCTCAGAGATCTCAGCCTCCAGCTCGGCCTTCTCCTCCTCCAGGATGTCCGTCTCCTGTGGGCATGAACAGAGAAAGAAAGAAAAAGGAACAGGAGGGTAAAACAAAGGATGGTAGAGGAGGGAAGAAGATGTGCAGAAGAAAGAGAGAGAAAATGTGTTAGTTACTCCAAACCTCTACTATAGTGTTTGTGGGTGGATGTATCCATCCCAGCAAAAATACCTCCTTCACCTGCAGTTAAATATGTAGGTTGGCTTATGTAAGAGACCATTAATTAGTCCATAAATAGTTTGTATTGAGGACTGTAATTTGCATTACCACAGCTCAACACCCTATTATCATAAACCATAATCTAACATGTCCACATTTATCCACACACAATGCAATGCGAGGCAAGGTAAAGTATGTAATTATGATCATTACTCATTCTGGTAGTTAAAACAAGGCCTAGCTCACCGACTGCAGTCTGTCTGTGAGATCTCGTCTGCGGTTTCTACATTTAGCGGCAGCCAACTTGTTTCTCTCTCGCCGAACACGCCTCTTCTCCTCCTCCTCAGGTGTTAGCTATGTTGAAGGAGAAAAATATCAAACAGATTAAGATCAAAGTTTTATATTTTATTGAAAATATTTGTATATTGTGTTTGGACTGTGTCAGTGTGACAAAACCAGCTATGGTTGTCTTGAGAGCAAAATGCCTTTTTTAAAAAAAAAGTTTCCTAAAAGTTTGGCATAAATGCTTATCCTCCCCCCACAGACCCCAACATATACCTGACCTTCTCTGACAAAACTTCATACTAGCATATGCATATGGTCAGCATTCAGTAGACTGGAAGTTACTCTTAGTCTTTTTATGCTTGTTACCTATGACCGTGAAAGTGTTTGTGCACACTACTGCTCATCAACACAGTAAACTGTGGTTGAATCTGATTGTTTTGACCCCAATGTAAACAATGTACCTATACTATATGTGTAACATGTCAACAAACAAATAATTCAAGCACACACACTTACTAACACACCAACATCTCCATCCTCACTCACAGACTCCTCTCGGGTACGACGGCTGCGGGTTCTGGATTGGCGGATGGGACCTGGAGCTGGGCCTTGAATGTCTGAACTTGTGGGGTTGAATGCAGACCCTGAGGAATAACTGGGGCCTGGCATGTCATACGGGTCAAGCAGTGACACTGGCTGGGTCATTGTTGTTGTCCCAGTCCCACTCAGGCCAGAGGCCTGGGAGGAGACGAGGGTTGGCTGTACCATCCACTGTAGATCCTGACTGGTGGTGATGGCGGTGACGGTGGGCACGAATGAACTCGGCATTTCCCCTCCGACACTGGTCCCTGGCCCGATGCCCACAATGCTCAAGCCAGCTCCTGCTGAGACACACTCCTGTGCAGGAAATGGTAAAACTGGTTTTAAACATCATCTTAAGCCGTAGGTTAGTAAACATATTCAGACAAACATACGTAGAAATGCACGCAGAAACAAGCTTCGATCAACTGCTTTCTTAAAGTGTTTGTCATATTTAATAAAAACCTATTGGAACCGCATTACAGGCAACTTAAACAACCAAATGCTGCTATCAAGGTTCCAATTGTTAAAAACCAATATATTTCAACTCAATTTGAATTAAGGTCAAATACAAATGAATACATGAAATGACATAAAGTTATTTTGTAATTTCTTTTTATAATATCCTTACATTTTAAATGTGATGCATATTAATTATTAGCCTATTTTAATAAATCTTTTAAACTTCCTACCCTGTTTTGGTGTAATTTAGGAAGCCTTTTGTAATACCTTGGTAAAGATCAGTATATTTGCTCGTTTTGAATCTTGAATTGTTTGTCTCACAACTGATATATTTTAGGCTTGTATAAATATACAATACAATTTAAATCTGTCGCTTGTGTTTTGTGTTTTATTTTAGATCAGGAAGGAGAAGGTATTGCATTAGTTAATGTTCATATAAAGCGTGACAGGCGGCTCGACCAATCATCTCTCTCATAGAGCGTGGCCCCGCCTTCTCCCCCCTCCTCGTCACACCCCTGGTGTTTCCCTTGGCAACGCGACGTAGCACTCCAAAATAGAACAAGCATTTACGTCACGGCCAGGCTCCGCTGCTTACGTACGGGGGTTCCGTTCTGCGGTGAGCTGCAAACTGAGCACGTTGTCATAGCCTGAGGGCTGCTGCCGGGACTACTAGCAACAGATATACCTACTACATTAAGACTGAATTATATATTTAGCAAAATAATGTTTTATCTGAACACCCAGTGGCAGGAGCACCGTACGTTGTACGCTATTGATGTGTCTATTATTATGATAGCTTAGCCAGATAGCCTATGTCAAATGTCTCAACTACGAAACACATTGCTAAACTACCACAAGACCTGCTGTAGTTATGAATAAATGCAAATATAACAGCTTTAACATTGTTAAATATATTGTTGCTATTATTTTGAATGTTGTCTTACCTGTGGAGCAACAGTGGTCCGTGGGCTTCCGAAGGAGTCCACCGAGGAAAGGTACTGTGACTCTATAGATGGAGAGGAGCTCCCACGGGATCCGCTGTCTGGGTCGCCGGGGAACCCTTGGTACATCTCCCCGGAGGGACCGAGAGAGAGCAGGACTCCCGCAGTGAGGTCTTCTGAGAGCGCGGGGTTACCTGCAATGGCAGGGCAGTCCCACACAAAAACATAACTAAAGGAGAATGATGTGACAGGCGTTGTGAAGTTAGCCCAACCAAACCTACATTGATAATGGATACAAAGTTGGATAACCCCACCATAAGTTTTAGCCTCATTGTGTGTGCATGAATAAATGAATCGTTAAAGAATATTCCTAAATCCAGTTTATGTTATGCCTAACAACATGTTGAGGTAGCCTATTTTGTAAAAGCAAAGAAAGCACGAAAGTATTTATTTGGTAATCTCTTAAAAAGCCTATCGAAAGATGTGTAGCCTACTTATTAATGTTTCCGACCTACTTTTAGAATGCATTTTTTTAATCAAACACATAGACACATCGTCCATAAACAAATCAATGTTGACTTACAGTTGATGATCTTTTTGCAATTTCCTGGTAAAATGCTCTTCCAAAAAAGTTGCATGAAGAAGCTTAATCCAGTTCCCCGTGTTTACGGGGAAGCGTCCCAATTCAATGTGTTAAAAAGTCCTCTCGTTTAGCTTTAAATCCTCGAAGCGTGGTCCTTTATCCGCTCGTCAAATGTGCGATTATGTATCCATAAAGTCCACTCTATGGACGCTGGAGGACGTGAGAAGTGACCTGTTACGGTACACAGTAGCAGATCTGGTCCTATGAATGAATCCATCCTCGCGGAGAACCAGAGCCTTTCTAGAGGTGGAGTTCCTCTGACGTACATGCCCATATTTGGACCGAATGTTGTGTTTGGTATCCTTGGTGACGTTGAGGGATTCCCTCTCCCACAGAAATGGACCAGAAGCTCACCTCGCTGTCGGATAATAATAGATGTTTTAGTGCTATCATAGGCACAAGATATTTCTCACCGTCTGACTATTTCTGAGAGGAAATTTTAAGAAACTTCGGTGAGATAAATTTGGAAAGTATCTATTTATGACTAGCTATCTATGCTGGAACATTATTTTGGGGCATGTAGGTTAGCCTATACGTCAATACATTATAACAGTTAGGCTACTATTAATAAACGGAATAAATAACATGCCAAAGCCACTATAGTTTGTCTGAATGGCATACCAGGTTCGCTTTAGCAGCATGGTAAACAAGATATGGCTATACATTATAATGCAACACACACAAATGTATGTCCCTCTCTGAAGGAATCCTGGCAGGCATTCAAGGGAAACCCTCCTGTAAAGTTTCTCAGGACACGCCCTGGGGAGTCCTCTGAGTTTGAGGAGTTTAACGTAATGTGAGGAAAGACTCCTTTTCACTTGTGTCTGAACACGCCCTTTACATGGAGGCAGGCACGGTGCCAAGTAGCCTAGCCTTTATTTGCCACAGGTTTGCAACACAGCATCAAACCTACGCTAGGCTATAGCACCGAATAACATACAATTTCAGATACATATTTAGTTGTAGGCCTAATAAGACTCTATGAAACAGAAGCAACAATATCCTCATTACAATGAACAAAAACATGAAATGGTAAACAGTATAACTCTATCACGGACAGTGGGCAGCAGTGACGGAAATCGGTTCCTGTCATTGCAAACATCACCCGTTGGAGCAGAAAGTGATTCATTATGATGAGGACACAAGTGGGAATGTGGCAGGTGGGAGGCTGGCTTTGGTGGGGGAGATTGCGGGAAAATCGGTTGGCAAGTCATGAATGAAAATCTAAAATTCAATGTATTTTCGGTGAATGTCAAGGGGCGGGCATGCAGCTGTGTAAAGGACTACAGCTACTGCTCATGTGTGTAAAGGCATGAGCAAAAGGGAAGAGTTGGGGATAACAGCCAACAGGTTATTAGTCAGCAGCACTACAACAACGTCACAGACGAGGATCCACGGAGGACGTGTGTCCGAGCTGCCGTTACCAGTGCCGCTGAACCGGGGATGACTCGTTGATGTAAGTTGTTCATGGTGTGGAATTGTTGAGGTGGATAGCTGATAACGCAGGCAAACAACCCACATTCATGGGGAAATAAATATACAATAATTGCACGACATTCCGGGGCGAGGGTATAAGAAATCGCAGAGCTAACTGGTTAATATCACCATTTGCTGCTTAAAATACGATTAGATTTAACAGTAACACAATCAAACACGTGTCCATTTCTTTATACATGGCAAAAATATCACAAACACTCACGTTAAACAGGTTTTCAGGCTAAAAGTAACCGGTACCATGTGCTATCCTCGAGACTGAGTGTGTGTAGCGTTGTTCTGTCGCCATGGATATGCTGTGCCTCTGACGTATACAATTTGGTCTTTTTTGTTATGCTGCCTGGCAACAGGTTTCCGTGGTAACCGGCTACAGCAGGAGGAGCAGACAATATGGCTTCCGGATTCTTTCTGTGCTGGATATCCGAGGAAAGCTGAGTATACAACAGGCAACAGCGACTGTTATTGTTGTTTTAGCACAGTTTTAACCGTCAAAGCCCGTTGCTCGTATCTTTGTCAAATCAGGGAAGTTACGTTGAACTAGTTAGCAGTTTACTAAAACGGTGTTTTGTACCGTTTACTCGACGTGCCTGTGAAATGCCTCGAAACCATAGACTGTATAAAGTTCGAAACGCACGGTAGACCTACATGTTGTTGTTACTGTATCGCAGATGTGGAGGAGGATGGGCTACTCCGATGTTTTGCTCGTGGATAAAGTTAAGTAGAAGTTTGACTATTATACAATGGGGTAACGTGTACCATTGTATTTAAGTAGTTATGTAAATATTCGACACTGCGAATGACATTCAATATGTTTATTTGAAGATAAGATATAGGCTACTCTTCACCTTAGCTTGATTTTTTGACTGTCAATGTTTAAATATCTACGCTGCTAGCCCTATTAAAATACATTGATTTAAAACATCAATGTAAGCAACTGATTCATTGTTTCGTATATTTGTATGTTATTTCAACTAATCTGCTTGCTTGACAAATGTTACTGTGACTCTTAAAGGTGGGGTAGGTAAGTTTGAGAAACCGGCTCAATATACACTTTTTGTTATATTCCATGGAATGCTCTTAACATCCCGATAGCAATGAATATCTTAAGTGCTTTGACAAAAAATCCATAAAAAAATGTCATCTGTGGAAGCCGTAGAGCCTCAGAGCCCTAGAGCCTCTAGGGCTCTGGTAGTACTGTAAAAAGCACGACCAATCATTTTAGCCGGCCCGGCTAAAATAACTGGATGGCCTACCTACCTTCCATCTGTGCACAAACTTATCTTGTGCCCTCATTGGTCATGTGCGCGTTCGTGTGTGTTGGAGGAGGGGCTCTGTAAGGAAGTGGCAGATTTTTTTCGGCTGTGTATTTTCAAATTCTTGCGCACTCGAGCTGGTTTCTCCAAAATTACCTACCCCACCTTTCATTGTGCTCAGTAATAATCGCCTAGCTAATTACAAATATATCTATCCATTATCCAATACTGGTTAAGTATCAACAAAACAAACCCCTACACATTCTGACTACTTTGTTTTCAGATTCAACAACATGAGTAACACTTTGTGATCTTCAAGTGGCTACAGCAGCTGATGTGGAAAAGATGGGCATTAATAAAGTGATTATGTTTTGAATTAATTCAGCATATTTTTCTCAGCTATCATGTAGCAGGTTATTCAATTGAGTTTACTTTATTTAATAAAACAATTTGCTCAGTTTATTCTGATTCCAGGGAATCAGCATAACACAATCAAACAGTTTGTCAATCTAGTCCACTGCTGTCCCGGGTTTTAGTTTATATTTAAAAGTTTAATAAGTTTTAACCATAGGTTTTAACCCTCTATGGCAGGGGTATTCAACTAAAATTCAACGAGGTCCAGTTAGAGAAAATCTCCCCATGCAAAGGTCCGGAACATCCAAATGTCTAAGTTTCTTTATGCATTAGTGTGATATATATATATTGAAGTAGATGTAGCTTTATCAACGTCTGCATGTAATCAACAACTGACTGCCAATCAAATAAAGAGTACAATTAAAAAACAACAATATTTATTGTCAATTAACATTGAACTATACAGATATACAGTAAATACTGTGGATATGTGTAATGTTCCTCTCGGGCTGCATTTAAAAATAAAATAGAGAAAATAAATAAAATAGCTTTTGAAAATGTGTGCATCTTAAAAGTGCTTAATTTTAGATAAATAAAATAAAGTGTAGCAGCAGCTTGAGTTTCCCTTTTTCTTTGTTAACCGTTTCACATCATGACTTAACAGTTTCAGACGATTATAGAAAAATATCAGTCTTTACAAATCATAACAATTGAACAGTTTTAAAGTTTATCTTTCTTTCCCTCTTATATTGCAGTCCCTCACTCACTTTTTTTTATTCAGTGTGAGAATTGAGCTGGAGCTTGTCCTGCCAGGAGTTTGTAAATCTGGGCTGAAATGGTGTCAGGGCTATTCTCACACACATGCAGGTGCTCATTGGTTACAGTGATGCAAACACAGGTATGGTGAAAAAAGAGAGAACTATACAAAGCAGAAAAAAAACAGCTTTATATACCATCTGACAAAGGCCTGTGCTATAATGCTTCAATTAACTGCTATTCTTTATAATATACTCCGATCAATAGGAGACAGAGATGTTAAGTTATAAATCAAGGGTTTTTATTATTATTTACAGCAGGGGTGGGGAACCTTTTTTTTTTAAATATTGAAGTTAAAAGCATCAATCTGGTGCACTTTGAAAGCAACATGAAGAGATCTATGGATACATCTTTCAACGCCCATATGAAACAGAACTGTAAGCAGATTTTTCTTTTGGGATATTTTACAAATCACTCCCTTTTGAAACTCTATTCTTGTTGTTTTTAACAACTTTTTTGTTACTGTCATATAGTATTTTATACCTGTTTTTCATTTAGTCTCATTAATAACTATAATGATCATATCAAGGTGTGCCTTAACCTCACTGAGCTGAGGTTATTTGAGCCTCTCAGGAGAGAGCTCTCTTCCACCTGGTTGTAGAAAAGCTCTTTAAATTCGTTAGCATAGCTAGCTAACCAGATGCTAATAACAACAGATCGCCACTGTGCTTACAACTAAAGACACAGCCACGCAAACACTGCGGCATGTGTACGGCTCCTTATGGGTACTGCAATAATAGGGCTGGAGCGGCGTTCCGGTGCTCTCTGTCAGCACTCCTTTCAGACAAGACATATACCACGTGAAGACACGTTACGCTCGTGTTGTGTTCAAGGAACCTGTCCTTGGCCAGGAAAAACAGCTACTCGCTTGTTTAATTATTTTTGCGGTCTGGATTTCTTCTTCTTTTTTGAAGTGAGAAGTTGTCCGTCAGTCGGACTGACGGACGGACTCCCCACCCCCAAAAGGAAAACTCTTCGTTTCTCCACGAATTACACAAGTCACCCAAATCAGCGTTAAAAAAGCGGGAGGTGCCGAAACATTTCCTATTAATGTATTGATTATAGCTCCGGGTCCGTATAGGTCGGCGTCTGGGTCCGGATCCGGACCGCGGTCCGCATGTTGCCGACCGCTGCTCTATGGCATACTGTTGCCCTCAGGCAACAAACCACGTTTTTCGACCTCACACTGGCCCTCTAAATATTTTTATTTTTTTAAATATACACAATGTCACCTGACATGCTGGTGTCCGATAAAATGAGGGAATTATATGGGTGTGGCATTTTGTCTGGGGGTGGAGCAGTCCTTTCTGCAAGCAAAGCTGCAGGGGCCTCAGGGCCACCACTTGGTAAGATACATTTCACTTTTTAACATATTAGAAATGTACAAAACTTAAAATAAAAAATACATGCATGTGCATTAGTGATGTTAAGATTCACCGATTCACATCGGTGCACCTGCATAAACGTTCAAGATGCGAGTGCACCGGTTGAAAGAGTGCACATCGGCTACAGTTTGGGTTGAACTCGCGATGCATCGATTGTGGCGTCTCTTTGCATCGGTAAAAACCGATTAATTCATATATATAATATTATCCACTCATCCACTTGTCGCTACTACGGAGCCCGGGAGCTGCGTCAAAGTTATCAACAAACATGGAAGTCAAGGAGAAAGAAATACACAGCGCACCGAAAAATAAATATAAACCACACGTTTGGCAACAATTTGGATTTTTCAAACAAGACGGAGAACTTGACAAATCACAAGCTATTCTTTCACACACAGTGACGTCATGAGCTACCCACAATGCAACGCGCGCCATATATATATATATAAATACGCCATTTTCCTGGAGGTGCAAATATCCTGGAGGTGCAAATATAAACAGCTAGCTAACGTTGCCAGGCAGAGCGCACTAGTTTTTTTTTCTGAATTAACGACAGAAGAAATCGCTGCATGTCTTCGGATTACATCTCTGGAGTTGAGGGGTGTGCTCTAGGTCGTTACCAGCGTAAACTAGAGCTGTGTGGGTTGTCGGATTGCCCTTACAGACTGCCTGTATGGGAAAACGACCCTCGAAAGTGGCCTTCGGTCGATTTTGGCAGCATCTACGTCTATCTTCTGGAAACACCAGGTGAATACCCCACTTGTCACAATAATATTATCATGCCATTGCATATATGTGGTATTTTAGAGTTGACTAGATATTGATTAAGGCAATAGACTATGATATTCTGCTTGCACCTCGCTTGAAATGGCGGATACCGGAAGTACGGTGTCGCCCTCGGCCCAATACCCGTATGTGTGTGTGAAAGAATTTGCAAACGATGCCGTGCCGCTATAAAGCACACGAGTAGCACACGAGTAGCACAACAAATTTAGCGACGCCCCTACAGAGGCGACAAGGGGTGGATAGTACGTCTGCGGTTGCCTCCCCATCCTCCTCGGATTCAGCTGAAGCTAACCCGGCTATCCCTGGCGGCAGCAAGACTGGTGGTGAGCAGCGTATCCAGGGCAGGCCCGGCTCTAGGATGAAATGACTGAGGGGGCTGTCAAAAAATCAGAGGGGGCGATTTTTTTTTCACAACAAGGAAAAATACTGGCAATGTAATTCATTGACACACCAAGCTTTTTTCCTTCTCACTGCTCTACAATCTCTTTGCTTCTTTATTTTTATTCCGGATTTACCCCTCTCATTCTGTTTTCCTCTGATCTTTAATAATAGATAGTACATTATTAGATAGCTGCACTTTGGTTAACAAACTAACATTGATTTCCTCAATGTATACATTGACAGGCTCTGTAATTATACCATAACCTTTTCTCCTATCCCTTAACTCGTCTTCCTATA